GGGGGGGGGGGGTTGTGCATGATGAATTCATCCGGCCTGTGAAATACTTAGCAGCGCAGGCAGGTGAATACTTAGCCGATCCGAAATCTGAAACCTGATATCTGATGTATTCGACAAGAACCGTTTTTTGGCCCGGCGGCCGGTGTGTCAGTTGATTCTGTGAGGGTGTCGGTGCCTTCCTGTGAGAGTCCAGTGAGCGGTGGTGCGTTGGGGTGGTTGCTTTCCCATGCAAAATCGGCGCCCCAGTGACGGGGATCACACTCAGCACCCGAGTGGGACGGCTGAGCGAAACACACTCTGACACTGGTTTTCAGTTAACGCAAGTCACGTTGGGAAGGAAGGTGAGAGAACAGAAAGGTGCATAGGTCCGAGCACTTGAAAGGTTTAACATTGTTGTCACGAAGGCGGCAGCAAGCAAATCAGCGGCGCAAATGCTGGGGAAGAAATGGTTTAGGGGAGGGTATCATGAAAAACCATGGAAACAAACCAAGCAGATTAGACAGCGTGGTCGAAAGTTCAGGTTGCAGGTACGTCGAAAGAGCGTCCTCTTTCGATATCCTAGTCTGAACCTGGAGCTTCGTTGGCTCACGCCAGGAACAGACCCGTGAGCCCCCTGCCTGATTGGAGTGGTCGAAGGAAACCCTTTGTCCAGGGGTGGACACACACACACACACGCATATATATATATATATATTATACAGATAGCTATAATGTACTATAACTATATGATAAAAGGGACAGGTGCATCTGTGAGTCTCTTAGGTCTCTGGAAAACTGGTGAGTCCGCCAGTGAGTCCCGGTCAAGAGTCAAGAACAGCTAACGCTGTGTGGTTGGACAAAAGGTTGGACTTGGGGAGCCTCAGCATCTTCTTTGGGTGGACTGGTCTTTGCGATCACCTGGCTCGATACCAAGCAGTGCTTGCCAACATTTAAGATCAACACATTTGTTTGTGAATTTGGGCCTTTGATGGATGCCTGAAACCCCTGATGCGATTTGAGGCCGAATCCAGCTGCAGGAGGTGCAGCTTGCCTGGCACTTGCCTCTGCCAGAGAACCTGGAGGAGCACAGACTGCACAAGAGGGACATGTGGAGTGAGGTGATAGATTATGAATTTATGAATGGCCAGGCCCTGGTGCCATAGCCAGGTTTCGTGTGCAATAGTCTTTATTGTTACTCAGATTTTTCAGGTACTGAGGCGCAGAAGCAGGTAAGTGCTCAAGCTCGTCTGGGCTCAAATTTTACAAGAAACTTGCTTTGCTAATTCAATAGGCTTTGATGTGGCAACCAGCGCTAGGCTCATCACTCCTAAGTTTCACCCGCTGTACTTATGGCTCAGCTATCAGACAGTGTCCTGGTGAGGAGCAAGCCATCTTCATTGCTCAGCTCCGGAGGCATGGCGAGGCCTTCACTCTCCAGGACCCATTTGTTGATCCAAGAAGCAAGCTGCTCAAGCGCTTTGCCCCCCACCTAATAGCGATGGCCTCCAACCCAATAGCGATGGCCCCTAACCTAATAGCAAGTAGGTTGTCTTTGGTAGGATGTAGATTCTTCGGCTCATCCCGCCTTGCCGGGCAAGGAGGTCCACCACGTGCCGTTGCGTGAGATCTCCCGCAGTGAGGTGAGAGAAGTTTATAAACTAACATTGCCGCATAAAGCCAGTGTATGTTTGCGGTGAAATTGACATGGATTGTTCCATCGAACGTGGAATTTGGAGTGCAGGGGTTGCCGCTCCTCAACGGCTCTCTTCAGCTGGCTCGGCTCTTAGGAGCAACCTTGCACAAGAGGTCGCAGACTGAAGACGGAGACCTGTTCCCAACTCTGAAACCTGGATTCGCACACATAGGCACACTCTAAGAGACACACTCTAAGAGTCCAAGCGGCTTCAAGGTGCTGGATGATTCTGATCTGCTGGGCCTCTTTGAATTGTGTGAAGGCTGAAAAGAATAGTTGAAAGATTTGCAAAGCTCGTACAGTATACAATTAGGACGCTACTAGTAGCAAAGGGCATCGCTACTAGGAACAAGGGCCTTACTACTAGTAACAAGCAGCTAGTAGAAACAAAATATAAATTAGTAGTAAAGGAGGCTACTAGGAACAAGGACGCTACTAGGGGCTCCTGGCATCGCCACTAGGAACAAGAAGCTACTAGGGGCTCCTGGCCTTACTACTAGGAGCAAGGACGCTACTAGGGGCTCCTGGCATCGCTACTTACTAGGAACAAGAAGCTACTAGGGGCTCCTGGCCTTACTACTAGGAGCAAGGACGCTACTAGGGGCTCCTGGC